CAAAAAAACGAAGTCCAGATGACATGATTCAACCTTTTTTGTTGTTAATAATTAATAAGCTTTCGTATGATCTATAAACCTTTTGTGATGGTGTTTTAAAGTGGCAAAAATTCACTTTGGTATATTTCTCTAAACTGAGGCTATTAGAAAAGCTACAACAGGTCAAAAATCATAAATGAAATAGAAAAAAAATGTGGAATACGTCATTATCAGAAAAGATACTTTTGTAGAATTCTGATGGAAATCCATTTCACCTCTTTCCTTCTCTTGCAGGGCCTCTTTATTTTGATAACAGGATGCCTTGCAGAGCAGAAGGTAGGTTGGTAATTTTAAAAGTGGACAGTAAGTCAATAACTTGTTGAAAAACAGCATTCGTTGTAACACATAATTGTACTGGGTTCTGAAAATATTAGCAATGCCTTTGTTGTTAAGTGTTTACTACATATCTGGTACATCAACAAGTTTTCTTTTATTTTTAGTTCAGTTAGGGATGTAACAGTACATTCATAGTCTACACTGAACAATGCTTGATTCAGAAAAACACTCAGGGTTAAAAACCTGTTAAAGTCAAATCAGCTGTGTAGGAGAAGCTCTGTGCTGCAGCTGGTAAACAAACAGGGGATGTGAAAGTTGTAAGTATGGCAAGTAGTTGTATTATGTAATTGACATGTTAAAAAGTACTCTTGAGCCATTTGTATATTTATTCAATGTCCCTGATCTCAAGCATAATTTTTTACTCCAGTTCTCAGCTAGTTTTGATTGTTTCACATTTCATTTATTTTATATTTTTTAATTGAGAGAGGTGTTACTTTTTATTTGCATGTAGTCTAGATTAAATCAATTAAATAAAAATTACTTGATTTTTAATTTATTTCATTGTATTATTTTTTTTTTTTTAAAGAACGTTTCAAAGTTTATCAAACCTTTTGTTTATTAAATGTGTTCCTGTTCAGATGGGATGAAAAAAATACTGCAAACTATTTTTATTTATAGTAGTAAGTCTTGATTGTTAGACCCTCCCAATAACAAGGGTGGGATTTTTCTGTCCCTGCTTCAGGGAAACATTTTGCCAAGTTAATAATAATAATAATAATAATAATAATAATAATAATAAATAACATTTGGTATTTGATTCCTTTTTCCTGTTATACCAAACCCATACCAGTGTCATACCATGACACAGGCATACCGTTACACCCCTATTGTTGACCATCTCTTATTTTTGGTTTGTTTTTAACCCTATTGTGTTATTTCCAGGTCAGAGATGAATTGTTTAGGATCATAATGGTAAGTACTTTAATGAGAACTCTCCAGAATTTAATCGTAAAACGATGGAAACATGCAGAATAATTTATTGTGCATCTACTTTCAGGTAAAAGTAGGACGAGAAACCGATAGCATGCAGAAACTGACGTCAACGACTTACACAAAAGACAAATGATGAGAAAAGGTCAGTTCTACCGTAGCATTAAAAAATTATCTGCGTCAATTGATTGTTTCTTTCCCTCTGAAATGACACATGGTCCTATCAGTCATTAAATTTCTGACATGAAACTGTTATTTAATACATTTAAAAAACAATATATAGCTACTGTCTGGACTGTAGCATCAGCTTTTTAACATAAACTCAGGTCAAATTGACTCTCTTGTTGTCAAACTCAATTTCTCAGAATTGAAAAGTTGGTGCAACAGCTGAAGAAAAATGGACAGCAAATGGGTGACAAAAGTAACTAATACATCCATTGTTTCCTAAATGATCAAGATGTCATCATGGTCTTTAATAAGATGGTAACCCATGCAATGTTCAGGTGCAAATAACTACAACAACTAATTAGCTGACCCATGACGATTTGGCTTAACATTGGCTTTACGGGCATTTAACAACAAAACTTGTGTAGATGTCAAATGTTTCTTTCAGATGATGCCAAATAAAACGTTAAGACGGTACAGAAGATTTCAAGGTCTCCATTCTAATAGAAATTTCTATTTGCACTCGGAAGTTGACATTTTCAAGTTTCTAGAATAAATATGTACTTGGAATGCCCCATGAATTCACAATATTACCCTAGAAAGTCAAAGATTTCTTTTCAACCTCCACCTGAAAATCCAACATATGTGCCCTGCACATCTAAAGTTAGTAGGTGCAGTAACCAACTAAACATTTTCTCTTCTGTTGATACATTTTTAAAATAAATCAGTCATACGGCATACAGTCTAATCACTGACATGTTGCTATATTGTTTGAATGCATAAAACACAGAATATATAAGTGGGGTAGCAGGGTGACTCAGTTGGTACAGCTGCCGCCTCTCAGCGAACATCGCCCTGGTTCAAATCCTGGTTGGGGGGTCTTTCTGGGTGGAGTTTGCATGTTCTCTCCGTGCTGCGTGGGTTTTCTCCGGGTACTCCGGTTTACTCCCACAGACCAAAAACATGCATGTTAGGCTGATTCTCTGATACTCTAAATTGTCCCTAGTTGTGAGAGAGAGAGTGAATGGTTGTTTGTCTCATTTGTCTCTATAGCCCCTTTTCCACAGCTCCTCTTCAGCCCGGTTCGGCTCAGTTCGGTACGGTTTTGAGCACTGTTCCACTGTCATTTTTTTGTGGAACCGGACCCTTTTTTGGTCCCTTCTTCTCTGGGGTTCCAAGCGAGCCAAGCCGACACCAAAACGTGACAGAACACTGTTGGTCACAGATTGATCACGGGGCGGAGTCACTAGAGGGGTTTGAGATTTTTTCTAAACACTCAATCCGCCATTTACAATTACCGGTCTTAGAACTTGAGGAGCGATTGGACCTATTTTAAAGATTTAAAAAATAATAATAATGATAACACCGTGGTCTAATGCTGAAGTGCGGGCGTATTTTGTGCTTGGTGATGTATTTAGTGCTTGGTGGTGGAGCTCCTTCTAGCTCAGAGCGAGCTAGATGGAGCTCCGGCCGTGCAGGGCGTCATCTCCCCTCCTCTGAGCTCTGCCGGTCACCACAAAATATCCTCCATGCTGCCGACTTGGGGCTCAGGATCCCGGCCTTGTGTGCTCTGTGGGCTCCGAGCTCCGCTGGTCACGCCGGAGGATCATACGAGCTGCTGACTTGCAGAAGGCTGTTGCCCGGACCCCGGTCTCAAGTGATCATGAAGGCCAAACCCCAATCCAGGCAGACGGGCTGACCGGGATGGGTCTGGGGCTGAGGCTGAGGCTGAAAACAATTTTTAAAACATTTTATGTAAAATAATATAATTTTTTTTTTTTTTTTATCAGTGAAGATAAAAAATGTGCCAGCTTTATCATGAAATCCTGTTTTTATTTTAATGACTTTATTAAATAATTTCTTAAAGTTAACTCAGCTGAAAAATCATAAAGACACAAAATTATCGAATCGCTCAGGAATATTTCCCTCAAACATATTTAAAGAAAAAATACAGCCTTTAGTTCAAACTTTATTTTAACCCACAGATGTACAAATCACAAAACAAGCATTAAACTTTAAATCAAAACTAAAATAAAATAATCTGTATACAAGAAACAAAATCATACATCTAAATCGAACAATAAAAGTAAACACGAGGTAAATACATCAAATGATGAAGAAAAATAAAATTTTAATTACGGATGCCAACATTTTTCAGTCAGGTCATCTGGAAAGTTTCTTTTTTTGTGCTGAAACGTTTCGCCTTCGATCCGGAAGGTTTCATCATTCAAGGAAGCACACAACAAAACTGATTCTTCCCCCAACAGCTTACTCCAAAGTGGAACAAACCAGTTTTGCTTGTGATAAGATGGTCTCTTTGGTACGCCCCCTCCTCCATTGCCGGCCCTTTTCCTTGTTGACAGTTGTGTCAAACTGGTTGAAAACAACAAGGTCCATGCTCAATAAACCAGGTATATAATCCAACATTTTTCAGTCAGGTCATCTGGACAGTTTCTTTTTTCGCCTTCGATCCGGAAGGCTTCCGGATCGAAGGCGAAACGTTTCAGCACAAAAAAAAAAAAAACTGTCCAGATGACCTAACTGAAAACTGTTGGATTGTATACCTGGATTATTGAGCATGGACTTTGTTGTTAATTATATATGTTTTTTGTAGAATCTGGTTCATCAGAGATTCAATTCAATTCACGTTATTTATGTAGCACCAAGTCACAACAGAAGTTATCTCAGGACACTGAACAGAAATATTCATATATAAAAATAATAATTTAACATTATTTATCTGAGGAGCAGAATGCTTTGAGTTTAACTCACTGCAGAACTCTCACTTTTAATGGTGAACTAAAGTTCATTAAAAGTTTATTAGCAGGATTTATTTATATATACATTGTTTAATTTGATAATTTTAATAATCTGTATTCTTTTTGATTTACCAGAAACTTCAAAATAAATTGTCACCCTGTAAATGAAACCTGATTCAAGATTAAATCATGATTATGAGCTAAATCCAGATTTTCCATCTACAGTGTTTGGTAAATAACTAAAGTGTCATAACAAAAGTCAAGATATTTTTAATATATCTTTATTGTCAACATTTATACTGAAATGATACATCGATGGAAGATAACAGCCTCTTTCATTTTTTTGTGGCACACTGTTGCTCCAGAGCTGGACATAAACAGACTGTAGGTCTGCTGCGATCATTTTGCTGGAGAATCACTTGAAACACACACAGCATTACTAAACCGTATTTAATCGACATTTACATACTTTTACTCTCGACTCCCACTATATAGCAGATTTGCATTAGCTTACCCTCACTCATCCTCTAATAATTTCCAACACTACTGTTCTTCTCTAGAGCCTTTTGCCTCACTGCCCGCAGACTTTCCTGGGTCTCTTTGATGTTTGACAAAAAGTCACAGACTGAGCATAATGTTCAATAAAGCAATGAGATCCTCCATTTTGGTTGTGTATTTTTTCAGGGTCTTTTTCTTAATATGTTTAGTGGTGGCTAGTAAATAGCTTAAGGGAGCACTACCGTTACCAGCTAGTAAGGAGAGTTGGATTCTGGACCCTGCCTACAGAACCGGTACTGAACGTGTATATGGAATTGCAACATGGACCGTGCTGAGCCGAGCTGAACTGAGTTAAACTGTCACTATGGAAAAGTCCAATTTGTGTCCATTTGATGGACTAGAGACCTGTCCAGGCTGTCCCCCACCTCTCGCAAAGTGATGGCCGGATATGGGCATCAGTGACCTCCACGACATGAAAAAGGAACAGGCAGGTAATGATAATGGATGGATGGACAGATTGACGGATGATGATTATTATTATTATTAATAACAAGTGAGAAATACTATACTTGCTGTATCCTTCCACCTTAGCTCCTCCCCATTTGCAAAGTTGGCTTGTTTTGCCTCTCCATTTAGAAAGGGTAACTGGCTGATTTTAAAAATATTTTTAAAAAGACCAAAATAAGAAAAGGAATTTGAAATTTGTTTCCTTTAATGAACCGTGACCCTAAAAACCAAGGTAGGTATCAAACTGTAACCTTAGCTTACATATCCAACATTTTTCAGTCAGGTCATCTGGACAGTTTCTTTCTTTTTTTTTGTGCTGAAACGTTTCGCCTTGGGTTTGGAAGGCTTCATCAGTCAAGGAAACACAACAAAATGGATTCTTCCCCCAACAGCTTACTTCAAAGTGGAACAAAAGAGTTTTGCTTGTGATAAGATGATCTCTTTGGTATGCCCCTCCTCCATTGCCGGCCCTCTTCCTTGTTGACAGTTGTGTCAAACTGGTTGAAAACAACAAAGTCCATGCTCAATAATCCAGGTATACAATCCAACATTTTTCAGTCAGGTCATCTGGACAGTTTCTTTTTTTTTTTTTGTGCTGAAACGTTTCAACTGATATCAGTTTTGTTGTGTGATTACTTGACTTATGAAGCCTTCCGGACCCAAGGCGAAACGTTTCAGCACAAAAAAAAAAGAAACTGTCCAGATGACCTGACTGAAAAATGTTGGATTGTATACCTGGATAATTGAGCATGGATTTTGTTCGTAGCTTACATAACACACTTACATATTTCAATAAATCCGTCCATCCAGCCATCCGTCCATCTGTCCGTCCGTCTGTCCATCTGTCCGTCCGTCCATCCATCCATCTTTACCCGCTTCTTCCTTTTTGGGTCACAGGGTCACTGGTGCCCATAGCAGTCACTGTGTGAGAGGTGGGGGATGCCTGGACATGTCTTCGGTTCATCACAGGGACACCTGGACTGGTCTCCAGTCCATCACATGGACACCTGGACATGGCTCCAGTCCATCACAGGGACACCTGGACATGTCTCCAGTCCATCACAGGGACACCTGAACATGTCTCCAGTTCATCACAGGGCCACCTGGACAGGTCTCCAGTTCATCACATGGACACCTGGACATGGCTCCAGTCCATCACAGGGACACCTGGGCATGTTTCCAGTTCATCACAGGGACACCTGGACTGGTCTCCAGTCCATCACAGGGACACCTGGACTGGTCTCCAGCCCATCACAGGGACACCTGGACAGGTCACTAGCCCATCATAAGGACACAGAGATGAACGAGACAAACAACCAGTCTTTCTCTCTCACACACCTAGGGATGATTTAGAGTTACCAATCAGCCTAGCATGCATGTTTTTGGTCTGTGGGGGGAAACCGGAGTACACAGGGAAAACACATGCAGCATGGAGAGAACATGCAAACTCCACGCAGAAAGATCCTCAGCCTCAATATATAAATATTTTAAACAATTCATTTTGTTTCTTTATTTTTTATTGCTTGTTTGCTTCTGTTTCCACGAGGAATCAAAACTTAACGTAAGGCTTTTGTTTTCTTCAACACAGTTCCTCACGGCTGGTGTTCTTGTATCTGTTTAGCTCACATGCTTGTTCCCTTTTGACAAATAAAGACACTGCAGATATTGTGGCACATGAAATGCAATGAGTTTCATAAAATACTTGGTTTTCTATCCCATATAGGTATCAAGTGAAATTAGATTTTTTTTAAAATATTTTTTAGGATGGGAAAATGTACAAATCATCGCTTGGATCTGCAGCTCCTGTTGGATCGGACAAGTTAAAGTTGAAATTTGTGTTGTGTCTTAGACTGCTACAAACATGTAGATGGAGTTTCATAATGAAATAGTGTCTAAAGTTTAGAACAATTATGTTGATGATGAGCAGTACAGCAAAGGTAACTTGCGATGCTTGTCATCCTCAGCCTAGGCTAGCTACATATAAATGACAGCTGTTTCTTTAGGCGTAAAATTTATTTTATTTAAAGATGAAATGTATAGCTTCAAGAAGAGACTTTAAGTATGAACTAAGAAAAATACAATATTTTAAAGTGCTAACTGTACATAGAACAAAATGTATGTTAATCTCAGTTTTCATGTTTTTATTTAAAGAAAACTAAGTTTAAATAGTTTTACTTGAACTACACGCTGCATATTGTGTTTGTATGTGACTGAGATTTGTAGTGAAATAAAGATTTAATGAAAGTTTTAATTTATCTCTTTTTTTATGACACAAAAAACATGTTTTCATGTTTGGCTCAATTCAGTAATCATATTTACAAAACCCCAATTTCCACCTTTTTTATTTGATGTTGTTTTTTGTCTTTTTTAGCGCAAAGTAGCCCAAACTGTGAATGCAGATGATGGCTCATGCTTCTAAAATGCGTTTGTCTCAGTTCCACTGATCACAGTGAAAATGACGATCATCAGAAAAATAGTTCCTGCCGCACCACTGACGAGAGCTCCTAGAATGCCTCTGTCGATGTTCACCTTCTCGCACTTCAGACCAGAGTAGAAGGTGGCCTGGCTGCTTGCACACCTGGGAAGCAGAAGACCGATTTAAACATTGTCTATATGTTCACATGAGTGTTCATTACAGGTGTAACAAGATCTTATAGGATGAGATCTTCCAAGACTAAAATGTTCCAGGATTTTTAGCTGCACTGAAAACTGTCTCACCCCTCACTCCCACACACACACAAAAAAAACAAGTCTCGTGACTGTGACTGGTGAAATTAGAGCAGATGTCCCAGCCCTTCAAGTCATTTGTGAGGCAACAGTTGAAACATCCTGAGAACTGGAGACACGTCCCTCAAGTTGTGTTGTTCAGGTAGCATTCCTTTGCAGCCTCTGTAGCTATGTGTTGAAAGGAAGATTCTCCGTCAAAAGTCTTTGATCAAGCCTTGTGAGAATGAGTTTGACCCTTCTGAGTTAAAAAGTCACACAGCTTTAACGAGGTCAGAAGGTCATGTATAGTTAAAGCTGGGGTGCCCAACACGTTGATCTCAATCTACCAATCGATCTCAAAGGTATTCTAGGTAGATAGCATGGTATTAAAAAATATTTGTCAGTCTATCATCCATCTATAAAATTAGTCTCTTGATTGACAGACAGGGCAGCCAGTCTGAGACCCCGTTTACACAACGTGAAACGTTCGGCCGTTCATTTACAAACAGCCTCAGTCTCTGAAACTGAAGGTTTCTGAATCAGGTCTCAGAGTGGAGATGTTTGGAGGAACCCCCACGGAGGTGTGAAATGCTCCAAGCATAAAGTGGCACATGCTCACTACAAGAGGCTGCAGTCTAAAGTTTTTCTGCTCTAACAACAGTTATAATAAATATAACAACAGTTATAATAAATGTCAGAGAGCAGAGTGTTTTTGTGTTGCTCACCCTTTTTCAGCATGAAGGAGCAAAACTAATAAAATCCAAAGTCCAAAGAGACATTAGTGTATTGTAGAGGGATATGGGGCTGGATATATATTGTAAATGATCAGTTATGAGTTAAGCTCATAAGATATGTGTAGAGGCATTGCATTTCCATGGTCAAATGCTCCTCCTCACCCTGACAACCAGGGTGAGGAGGAGCAGTGAAACGATGTTTCTAGATGCTTAGTCACTACTCTTGTCGGTGTTGAAACGTTGTTTAGTTGATTTTGGTTGTTTCTGAGGTAAGAATGAATCTTGTGTGTAGTAAGTTAGAGACTAAGAAGCCTTTGACCATGCCAACATGCAGTTCATTCACTAAATTGCAATCCTTGCGGAGTCAATGTATATTATTGTACCTTAAGTACCATAATCTACATTGATCTCACAACACTTCAGCCGAACCTACTCGAACAATTCTATTCGGGGGGATAGCTAATTCTTTTTGATAAGTCTCGCCATAGACTTCCAAAACATTTATGGGGAAACCAAACACCCAATCTCAAGTCGTTCGTCTACAAGACAACAGACATTTGAACCAAACTACATTTTGCCATGTAAAGCTAACTTAACCCAAGTTAGAAATGGAAAAGTAGTTTGGAACCCTTTTCTATAGGCTTAAACCCCTGTAGTTACCCCTTTTCAACATGCTCCACCCCTTAACTGGTAGTCGTAGCTGTTCTCAACCATAATAGCTTACACACCAGGTGCATATAGTTTAAGGCCTTATGTAAAATCCCCTTCATAAGCCCACTTTAAACCACATAATTGCATGACACATTGAACCAGAACGGCACGGGCTGGACGTCGCTGGAGACAACCTTCGCTGGAGGCGACCTGCAATCCTGACGTTGGTCTCCACTCTTCATCCGGTGGCCGCTTCTTCAGTTCAATCCAAGGGTACCCCTCTGTATGCTGATTAATCAACACTTCCAATCGTTGTGGATTTACCATTGTGGATTATATGACTTTTTCCAGTGGATTACAGACTCTGTTTCCAAGGGGTTAAAGCATTGCTACAATGGAATTATCGAGACGATATGGAATTATAATCAACACAATGGAATTACCAAGAACATTGTGGGATTACCTTGACTTTTGTTTTCCTTGCTGGATTACTTTTGACTTTTGTTTTCCTTGCTGGATTACTCTTGACTCTTGTTTCCTTGCTGGATTACATCAAGCTTCAAGGACGATCGACGACGTAAGTCCATAGTTGGAATTCATCTCCATGGACAGGTGATGATTTCCAAAGGGGGGACTGTAGTGGACTAGGCCTACGTCGGAACCCAGTCTAAGGTCAAAACTCTTGACCTTTAGAACCTTGTGGGACAGAAGCTGTCATTTCATGTATTTGAATCCATAAATACAGGTTCACCCATCCTGAGACTTTCTTTCTTGAAGATTCAAGTGAAAAGAACACTCTCTTTTTATTATCATTACTATCTTACAAATGTTGATAATCAAGTGTCTTAGTTCAAACCATTTTAGATGTTGCAGTGAACTAATCAATTTTATTAACTGAGTAATGATTTTTATTCTCATGTTAAAAGCTGTTGCAGAGTAATTATGCATTTTTCTGATTTCTGCTTTTGAATGAGCAAGTGTGTGCGTTTACAAGGTTACAGTCAAACGAAAAACAAGTTGTTATGTTAAAACTGTCATGTTTTAGAATCCTCTCAGACGTAAATAGAGATGTTTTGCACCTGTGTCTTAGGCACGCCAAAACAGAACCCTCTCGGTCTGTGAGAACATTTCTGAGCTGTCTCATAACAATTCTCGCTGTCTCTAACCCCTTACGTCACAAAAACACACCCCTTCTGGTCGTTTCTGACCAATGAAAAATCCCAAAAAGTGAACCGGGAAAGAGCCTTTAAAATGTCAGTACTTCCTGGTCTACACAGTCTCACGGAGTTACAGACTCAGAGAGTTGTCGGAGTTCTAAGAGTCTGAGAGCGTAGAGTTCGGTGAGAGTCTACTCAAGTTCTGCTGAGTTCTGATGGAGTGCTGTTGGAGTTCCTGACATGACAACAAAGCTCTTCCGAGTTCCATGGGATTATAACATTTTCCACTGAGGTGAATGTGTGTCGAACAGAGCCTCGCCACTACTTCTGACGGGCAACAGCCATTCTAAGGAGACGCTGGACCGGTAGCGTTAACGGAACACCATATCTGCTGATTATCATCAGAGAGGTAATGGGTCAAGTTTCCTACCAAGCGTACCGAGGCGAGCTGGGCTTCTGATGGAGAGTGTCGGTTCTGGTGACCATTCAATTTCCCTCAAACCCCATCCTTTACTCCCCCTAAACTTCTTTCCATCTTTAAACTTTCCTATGAAGTAGAAATTCTCCCAGATATTTAGAAATGTCTGTGTAAAGTGCTTATTCACATCCGTGTGGGTAAAAGATCATAGTTGTACAGTTTTATAAATGTCAGCAACGGAAAAATCATGGCCGTATGATTTTTCCTGATTGATTGCTTATATTGTTATTTTCATAATTTGCCAAATTAATGTAAATGTTTGATGTTAAATTTGATTCTGTAAATAAATGACCGCATTCATTTTGATGGGTCAAATTTAAATGACGTCTCACTTTGCATTTCCTTAAATTCAATGCACGTTTTATTCAGTCCAGAAAAATGAGGAACTCGCGTTAAATGATGAATATATCCCAGCATCTGTTCATCTACATATGCATTTATTATGCAAATAACCTCGTTGTGTGTGGGCACCACCTCTTTTAGGGGAAAAATACGCCTCTAACCCCACATTAAATGTAAACAAAAACGTGAATTATTTTCTCATGTTTAAAGGGCATCAAATCAGTTAATACACACAAATATGCCAAAATAATCACAAATTTAGTTGATTTTATGTATTTTATTACAAAAATAATAATCTGTGATATATCTGATGAAGATTATGCATAACAAACAAATGAGTAACAAAAAGCTTTGTATCAAAGGTCTACTTTATTATTCAAATCAGTGAAACTTAAAAAGGCAGATTTTTGGACTGGTTCTGTTTGTGGAGTAGTTAAAATTGTGTCTAAAGTGAGCTGTAGTTTGTCTGATAAGATTATTGTGATGTATGATCACCAGAAAGTGCAATGAAGAGTCTCTGTCACCAGAACGAGATGTCAGAATGTTCCACAGCTGCTTAAAATTATACCAGCAAGGTCTGAGATGCTCCGGTGACTGAGAGACTGATTTTTCCCCTAAGTTCACCTATCATCGGTTGGAAGGACGAAGGTCCAGTCACTGGCTCTGAAGTCAGCTGGGATTTACCACTCTGCGGTGGGATGGTTCTGGTTTGGTCAGGTTCTCTCGTCCTGAGACGTCTGCAGGGTTTCTTCTGTATCCTTTGTCCAGTCTCTGTGCAGAAAGGATGCTT